TTTGTGTATCCTTGCATGTGAAATGGGTTTCCTGGATACAGCACACCGATGGGTTTTGTCTTTTTATCCAATTTGCCAGTCTGTGTCTTTTGATTGGGGCATTTAGTCCATTTACATTTAGGGTTAATATTGTTGTGTGTGAATTTGATACTGCCATTTTGGTGCTAGCTGGGTGTTTTGCCCTTTAGTTGAGCTGGTACTTGTTCCTTTATATGTGTAGAGCCTCTTTCAGGAGCTCTTGTAGAGCTGGCCTGATGGTGACGAAATCTCTGAGTACTTGCATGTTCCCAAAGGATTTTATTTTTCCTTCATTTATGAAGCTTAGTTTGGCTGGATAGGAGATTCTGGGTTGAAAGTTCTTCTCTTTAAGGATGTTGAATATTGGCCCCCACTCTCTTCTAGCTGGTAGGGTTTCTGCTGAGAGATCTGCTGTGAGTCTGAAGGGCTTCCCTTTGTGGGTAGCCCGACCTTTCTCTCTGGCTGCCCTTAGTATTTTCTCCTTCATTTCCACCCTGGTGAATCTGACGATTATGTGCCTCTGAGTTGCTCTTCTTGACGAATATCTTTGTGGTATTCTCTGTATTTCCTGGACTTGAATGTTTGCCTGCCTTGCTAGGTTGGGGAAGTTTTCCTGGATAATATCCTGAAGAGTATTTTCCAGCTTGGATTCATTCTCTTCGTCGCATTCAGTTACACCTATCATACGTAGATTAGGTCTCTTCACATAGTCCCACATTTCTTGGAGACTTTGTTCATTCCTTTTTACCCTTTTTTCTCCAGTCTTGCCTTCCCGTTTTATTTCAGTGAGTTGATCTTCGACCTCTGATATCCTTTCTTCTGCTTGGTCAATTCGGCTGTTGATACTTGTGCATGCTTCGTGAAGTTCTCGTGTTGCGTTTTTCAGCTCCATCAATTCACTTATATTCCTTTCTATTTTGTCCGTTCTCGTTAGCATTTCATTAAATCTTTTTTCAAGGTTCTTAGTTTCTTTGCATTTGGTTAGAACATGTTCTTTAAGTTCACAGAAGTTTCTTACTACCCACCTTCTGAAGTCTGATTCTGTCATTTCATCACACTCGTTCTCCCTCCAACCTTGTTCCTTTGCTGGTGAGGAGTTGTGATCCCTTGTAGGAGGAGAGGTGTTCTGGTTTCGGGTGTTTTCATCCTTTTTGCGCTGGTTTCTTCCCATCTTTAAGGATTTATCCACCTGTTGACTTTGTAGTTGCTGGCTTTCAGATTGGGTCTCAAATCTTTCAGATTGACGTTCTGTTTGTTGATGATGAGGTTATTTCTGTTTCTTGGTTTTCCTTCTGACAGTCTGGCCTCTCTGCTGTAGGTCTGCTGAGGTTCACTCCAGGCCCTGCTTGCCTGGGGTTCACCTGCAGCAGCTGCTGAACAGTAAGGGTTGTTACCAGTTTTCTTCTTCTGCTATCTTTGTCCCAGAAGGATACCTGCCTAGTGTCAATCTGATCTCTCCTTTATGAGGTGTCTCTTTGGATATATAGGGGTCAGGGAGCTGATTGAGGGGACAGTCTCTTCTTTATAGGAGCTCAAATGGTGAGCTGTGAGCTCTGTTGTTCATTCAGAGCTGCTGGGCAGGTACGTTTAGGTCTGCTGCAACAGAACTCATAAACTGCTTTTTGTTCCCAGGTGCTCTGTCCCAGGGATTTAGGGCTTTATTTATGAGTTTCCATTATGCTGCTGCCTTCTTTTTTTTTTCCTTCAGACCTGGGTTGCCCAGCAAGGAGGCAGCCTAGTCACTGTCTGCCTGTAGAGGCTTTGCTGAGCTGCTGTGGGCTCTGCCCCATCTGCCGAGTGAACTTCCCTGCAGTCCTGTTTATATGGGTGTAGTTAGAACTGCTTTGGCAATGGTGGCCCGCCTCTGTTGAGGCGGAGTCTCTCTGCTGTGGCGGGTTGCCTTGGCATTGGTGGGCTGCCTCAGCAATGGCGGGTTGCCTTGGCAATGGCGAGCTGCCTCAGCAATGGCGGGTTGCCTTGGCAATGGGTGGCTGCCTCAGCATTGGCCAACTACCTCCGTCGTGGCAGGCTGCCTCGGTAATGGCGGACGCCCCTCCCCCACAGAGCTGGACCTTCCTGGGTTCAGCTGCACTTGCTGTGAAACTCTCAATCCAGAGTTTCTGGTTGCTGTTCTTTTGTAGGGGTGGGACCAGCCGAGCCTGATCACCTGGCTCCCTGCCTCAGAGCCTTTTTTAAGTTGGTGTTCCAGTCGCCTGTTGAAGAGGCGCCAGGGTCTGTTTGTTTTCCCCTGCGGCCACTCACTGCCCTGGCTTAAACAGCGGCACTGAGGTTTGTGGCGCTTATTTTTTTTTTTTTTTTTGCCCTGGCATCTACTGTCCTGGTTCTCTGCTAAGTCCCCTTTTTAAACAGACGAATGGGCGACTTCCCGTGGCTCCAATTGCCAGCCAAAAGGGGCACCCAGACCAGTGTATTTTGTACAGAGAACCACTGCTCCGGGGTGCTGACAAAGCAGCCGCGTGGGGCAAAGCAGCGGCGCCGGCCGGCACAGCCGCGCTGGCCGAAACAGCCACGCTGGTGACCCGTGGAGCTCCTCCGCCTGGGAATTTCCTAGTCTGTGGGCAATAAAAATGTGGCGTCCACTCACCCTCTGTGCTTTCACTGGGAGCTACAATCCTGAGCAGTTCCTAAATGGCCATCTTGGATCCTCCACCTATCACACTCTTAAATTCTCAAAAAGAGAACCAAATAAATTGAAAAGAAACCCACACAAGACATATGGAAATTTTTCAGATAAAATGTTTTCCTCTGGCTCTATCCTTACAGCTATGGTACAACAGCCCAACTTTAGCTGTCATGCAAATGCCTCTAAAAATTTCCATTTCCTGGCAGAGCTTAACTGGCAGTGTTTGTTCTCTCCGGTAGAAATCATAGTGGTACAATACATGTACACAGTATATTAGTCTCACCAGCTCCTGTCACTGTGCAAATAGCTTCATAAGTGTACATTTGACACTTGGAAAGACAACAAATATTTTTGCTTACTATGTGTAACTAACATTGGTTGAAGCTATTTTCTATATTAATAAGTGATGCATGTGCCTTTAAAAGTATCTAATGGGCCATATCCTAGGACGTAACAGTCTCTCATTGAATCTAGCACTGGCTAGATTCATCGTATTCTTATGAAATATCTCAGTATTTCCATAAAGCCGCTGGCAACTGATAGCAGCCCTTTTTTGCAAATAAGAAAACTGAAATAGCAACTTAGATTTATCATCTAAAGCTTCCTTGTCCAATAATATTTTTCTTATATATGCTGTTTCCAAAATAATATGGCTCAAAATAAAACAAGCATATTCACATGTCAGATAACAAGTTTATATAATCCCTTAGTTACAGATGCAGTTGCAAAAGGAGGTGGAAGGCATCCAGGAATGCAATACTATAATTTTTATAAAATGAGATAAAGGACTGGGAAAGAGTCCAAGATGTGTCTAGACAATAATAGCCTTTCCTAATTGGAGCAATAGTAATCATTAGATTTATTAGTATCTACTGAAATACAAAAAGAAATAAGAAACACGGTTGATACCTTGGCTTAACAAGTGGCAGAAAAACAGTATTTGTCTGCATTTGTTTCATTAATAGCTTTATACCACTAATAACCAGAAGAAACTCCTGGACAGGCTGTACAAGTGGTTTTCTAGCTTCTTTTAAAAAAGGAATTCCTGGGTTGATATCTGAGATATATTAAATGTATTAAATAGTTTATTCATGTTGGAAATTCAAGTATAAATTATTTTTAACATTAAGATCAACTCCTGTTCATTACAAGCTCCTGATCAACTGTCTTAATAGAAAGTACCATAGACTTAGTAACTTATAAACAACATAAATATATTTCTCACAGTTCTGGAGGCTGGGAAGTCTGAGATCAAGGCACCAGTAAATCAGGCGTCTGGCAAGGGCCTGTTTCCTGGTTCTTAGATCATACCATCTTGCTGTCCTCACGTAATGGAAAGGGAAAGGCAGCTCTCTGGGATCTCTTATTAATGAGGGCCCCACCCTCATGACCTAATCACTCCCCAGCCATGCCTCCCATTACCATCACATCGATGATTAGGTTTCAATATATGAATTTTGTGGAGAGGCAGGCATTCAGTCCATAACAACAACATTCTTCAAACTACCATTGTAGTTTTAAGAATACTACTCTTATCTCAGTATTGTAGGCCAGATGCAGTGGCTCACACCTGTAATCCCAGCACTTTGTAAGACTGAGGTAAGAGAATTACTTGAGGCCAGGATCTCAAGACCTGCCTGGGCAACATAGTGAGATATCATCTCTATAAAAAATTTAAAAATTGACGGGAGTGATGGAGCAAGACCTTGTCTTGAAAAAAATAAAAAACACCATTGCAGACCAGTCAGCCATTATTAAGTTGTAGAATCTACTGTGCATTTTATGTACCAGAAGTCTAGGGTCCTAAACTTTTTTGCTGAATTCTGAAGATAAAACATACTTGAAAAATGTATCATAGTTTCAAGCAGCCTCTAGGAAATGCCTTGTAGAACCCAAATTGAAAACTAATGTATAAGTCTTTATGTTGTGAAAGTCGTTCTAATGAAATGTAACCATCACCAATAGCATCTTCCATACCTGACCCATACCTTTAGCAAGTGACATCACATTAAATTTGTCAAAATCAATCTTTAAGTACCTTAGTTAGAATTATGTAGCTATAGATGGAACATGGAGGAAATTATAGAGCTGTGCTGTCCAATGTGGCTAGCCACTAGCTACATGTGGCTATTTAAATTTAATTTAACTTAAATTGAAAATAAAGGTCCTCACTTAAACTAGCCACATTTAAGTAGTGGCTGCCATACTGACAACACAGAGGTAGAACTATGTAGAACATTTGACAATACTGTCTAGAAAGTACTGATATGAAAAGCACTTTTCTGTAAATTTGAAATTATTTTGAAATAAAAATAAAACTCTATTCAATATTTTCTAGCCCTTTCTAAGGCACAAAATGATGTGACGGCAATGAAGATGCAATCAGAGAGACTTTCAAAAGAATATGATCAACTCCTGAAAGAACACTCTGAACTTCAGGTGGGTGTGACATGCACTTTATGCGCCTAAGAGTTTTGAAATAGTAATTACCTAAGTAAATTATTTGGGTTATTTGTTCTTAACTAATCCAGATGATATACTAAATCCTGGCTTTGTTAAATGACTTAAAGAAGCCACATTTTTACCTAGAGGGTAAAGATGAGGACATTTTAGGAAAATACAAGATAATTATAAGTAATTGCTGACATACATACTTACAGCATTCCAGTTTTGGTGAATCTTTAAGCAAAATAAGTAACCACAAAAATGGCAGTATTGGAAAACAGACTGGTTCTAGAAGAGTTGAGTTTTGCTATTTGGGATGTTTGCCATATTCATGCCAGAATGAGGCCAGAATTTCAAGTTCCACATCACACTACTCTTATCTCAGTATTTCAGACATATTAGGACAAAGACTATAGCATTCAAATATATTATTGACCTCCAAATATTGATTTGAAAGATGGAAACAGAAAAAAATGTTTCATTGTTAAAGCCACAAAGTCAGATCTGGGCCATAGGTTTTCTCTTCCTCTCTAATCCAAGAAAAGAAATATTCATCCCTGTTAGGCTTGTGTTTCCTCCTTCCCTTCTGCTGCCAGCCAGTAACCTGAGTTGATTTCCCAGCCACACTTTGATCAATTCGGAGAGAGACCATTCTAGAGGCAGCCCTAGCCTTCCCTTGACAGACTGGTTGGGCTTGTCTTCAAAACTTGGCAGCCTTTATGGCTTTCATTTAGGGCTTTTTACAAATTATACCTTTTTTTCACTGTACATATTTTTCAGCATCTTAATGGTCATTATATCTCCAAGGCCCAGCACTGTTCCTGGCCCAAGGCAAGCAGACACTATACTCATAGACTTTGAAATTGGACATACCTGGAGTACCTACCCATATCAGGCCGCATGCTAAGGTTTTTTATCATAGGCCGGTTATAGCATCCCTTTGGGGCTCAATTCTTTCGTGTATAAGATTGGAACAATAATGATGCCTCGCTCACTGGATTGTTAAGAGAACTAAATAAAATGTGTAGGTTTCTTAGCACTATGCCTAGCTGATAGTAAACATTCAATAAATGATAGGTATTATCATCATCATCTATATTACTTCCTCTGTAGGAATTTTGCCAAAAGAATGACTTATTCTTAACCAGCCACTTTGGCCTTGGTTTAGAGCCAGTCATGAAGTAATCAAAGCACGAGTTTGTAATCTGATAGTCCCAGTTGGTTTGCATGTTTGGTTTAACTAGCCTATTTTAACAATAGCAAGAAAAAGATAAGGTAGCCAGAGAAAGGTGAATACTCTCTATGCTCCAATCCTGACACTGAGGGCTCAGTTCACATGATCTGGAGCAGATAGGTAGATTGTCAGCAAGACCACCCCTTCCCCATCTCGAAAACAGAGATCCTAAAATTGCTTGTCTCATCAGGACTTAATAATTATTCCATGGCATCTTTCAAGATCCACACTGGAAAGTGAAGAAGTCACTTGACAGACCTCTTGCCTAGAAATACAACATCTTCCTCCTATTTGTGAGTTTAGGGTTTACTCAACCAGGATGAGTATCGACAATAGTGGACCTTGCCATGATGTCAGACATGTTTATATCTTTGGATGGAGAAAGGAAAACCAGAAGTATGCCCTCAATTTCTTATTGCCAGTGTCCATCATTGATAGTCTCCACTGTGGTAGCAGCCATTGGTTCTATTAATTCTGAAGAATGTATATAACAGTGAAATTCCCTCAACCCATTTCCTCCCCACAAAAAAAGCCACAGTCAGCTTAAAGCTTCTGCATTCTTGGTAAAGGATGTAGAAATATTTTAAGAGTGATCCCTTCCCAAGAAAATAGTTGTTATACCTGCTTATGTGGAAAAGACCCCATCCCAGATTATGCCAAACACCATGCCAAGAATAGGCCCTTGTTTGATAGTACATTCAGGACTTGATCTAATTTCTGCCTGTATCTAGTTTTTGAAATATTTAATAGGTGAAATTTGTTGAGAGTATGCTCTGGACTAAGCACTTGGCTAAGGGCTTACGATATGTTGTTTTATTTACTCTCCATGACAGCCCAATAATTGAAACTATTTTAATATCCCTATTTTGTGAATGATGAAACTGAGACCCAGAGATGTTACATAATTTACCCAAAGTAACTAGAAAGTGATAGCATACAAAGTCAGAGAATCTTTCTTCAGAACCTCCATCATTAACCACTATGTTCTTTGGCCTTTTGCTGGTCATTGGATTGTGTGTTCTTGGATCTGTTCTCCTGTCACCACTGCTTTACTCTGTATCTCTGGGAGGTCCATTTCCAAGACTCCCTTGCTGTCTGACTTCTGGGCAGTTTTAGCCAATGGCAGGCACTAGCAGACTGAACGCAGGAGGAAGGGGAAAGCCAGGGATTTCTTCTACTCTCTCTGCTGTGGATACCTTCTCCTTTATGGCTCCAGTTCCTTTCCTCCATGGTTTCAGGTCCCACTGGGCAGCTTCTATTTACTGGCCTGCACTTGGGCTCCGTAACCCTCATCCCTCCAGCCTAAGGAGTGGTAGTAGCTTTTCTGCTATTGATAATCCCAGAGGTGCCTTACCATACTGTTTGGTGTGTATACTTTTTCATTGCCTGTAAAACCATTTCCCATAATATCCCTGAAGGAAAGCAAAATCTCGGCTCTATAGTTTACCACTTCTGTAACCTACCGGTGACTCATTTGACATCTATGCTCCTCAGCTACTTTACTACTTAATGAGAGTTATAATACATCATGAGCATTAAACCAGATCCTGTGTAACAAAGCACTTTACATATTTCTAATCAAGAATAGCTCTACACAGTATTAAAATGCTATTATGTCCTGATTGGTTACATTTTTTCCCATTCAGCTACTCAACCCCCACCCATTGTCTGGTATGAGACCCTGTATAAGATTCTCAGATTTAGAGAGCCTTTTTTTTTTTTTTTTTTTTTTTTTTGAGACAGTTTTTCACTCTGTCACCTGGAGTGCAGTGACACAATCTCGGCTCACTGCAACCGCCACCTCCCCAGCTCAAGTGATTCTCATGCCTCAGCCTACTGAGTAGCTGGGACTACAAGCACATGCCACCATACCTGACTAAATTTGGTATATATATATATATTTTTATGGAAATAGAAAAAAAATAAAAAATTTAAAAAATGAGGGAAGAAAATAACAAACAAGCAGCCAACCAATATTTCATTTAAACCTGTGAGTAGGTATGATGTGGTACTGATAAGAGTGTGTATTTTGTGTATTTAAAGTAGAGAGTTTTATAAATGTTTATTAAGTTTACTTGTTCCGGATCTGTGTTCAAGTCCTGGATATCCTTGTTAATTTTCTGTCTCGTTGATCTGTCTAATATTAATGTTGAAGTCTCCCATTATTATTGTGTGGGAGTCTAAGTCTCTTTATAAATCATTAACAGCTTGTCTTATGTATCTGGGTGCTCCAATATTAGGTGCATATATATTTATGATCATTGAGTCCTGTTGTTACTTTGATCCTTTTACCATTATGTAATGTCCTTCTTTACAACTCCTTTTTTTTTCTCTCTCTCTCCATTTGATTGGTGAGTCTTCCTCCAGCCTTTTGTTTAGAATCTTTGTGTGTCCTTGCTTATGAGATAGATCTGGACACAGCATGCAGATGGGTTTTGACTTTTTATTCAACTTGTGTGTCTGTGTCTTTGATTGGGGCGTTTAATCCATTTAAATTTAGGATTAATATTGACATTTGTGAGTTTAATATTGTCATTTAATGCTAGCTGGCTATTTTGTCCATCAGCTGATATAGATTCTTCATTATAAAGATACTCTTTATCTTTTGGTAAGTTTTTGGGATGACTGATACTGGTTGTTCCTTTCTGTGTATAGTGTTTCTTTCAGAAGCTCTTGTAAAGCAGGCCTGGTGGTAATGAAATCTCTGAGTGCTTGCTTGTTTGTGAAAAATTTTATTTTTCCTTCATTTATGAAACTTAGTTTGGCTGGATATGAGATTCTGGGTTGAAAATTCTTTTCTTTGAGGATATTGAATATTAACCCCCACTCTCTTCTAGCTTGTAGGGTCTCTGCTGAGAGATCTGCTGTGAGTCTGATAGGTTTCTCTTTATGGGTAACCTGACCTTTCTCTCTAGCTGCCCTTAGAATTTTGTCCTTTATTTCAACCCTGGTGAATCTAATGATTATGTGTCTTGGGGTTGCTCTTCTTGAGGAATATCTTTGTGGTGTTCTCTGGATTGCCTGGAGTTGAGTATTGTCCTGCCTTACTAGATTAGGAAAGTTTTCCTGAATAATATCTTGAAAAATACTTTCCAGCTTGGATTCATTCTCTTCATGACATTCAGGTACACCTATCAAACATAAATTAGGTCTTTTCACATAGTCCCATATTTCCTGTACACTTTGCTCATTCCTTTTTACTTTTTCTTCTCTAATCTTGCCTTCTCGTTTCATTTCATTAAGTTCATCTTTGAACTCTGATATCCTTTCTTCTGCTTGATCAATTCGAGTGTTAAAACCTGTACATACTTCTCGAAGTTCTCTTATTGTATTCTTCGGTTCCATTAATTCACTTATATTCCTCTCTAAATTGTCCATTCTCGTTAGGATTTCATCAAACCTTTTTTCAAGGTTCTTAGTTTCCTTACATTGGGCTAGAACATGTTCCTTTAACTCACAGAAGTTTCTTATTATCCAATTTCTGAAGCCAAATTCTGTTATTGGAACGCACTCATTCTCCATCAAGCCTTGTTCCCTTGTTGATGAGGAACTGTGATCCCCTGTGGAGGGAGAAGCATTCTGATTTTGAATATTCTCAGCCTTTTTACGCTGTTTTCTTCCCGTCATTGTAAATTTATCCACCTGTCATCGTAAATACTGACTTTCAAATTAGGTCTCTGAGTGGACATCCAACTTGTTGATTCCCAGTGCCAAAGTCCAAGTAACCCACTGCACTGGCCAAAACAGCGGTGCCAAGATTCCTGGTGCTTTCTGCCTGGGAATCTCCGGTCCGGCCTCCCTCCTGGGTCCTCCTTTCTGACTCTGCCTTCCTGGAGCTCCAAACATCGACCAAAAGGGGAGCCAGTCCTATTCACTCCGCACCGGGAACTGCCGGGCAAGCCACAAGAGTTGTGCTGGCGACCCGTGGGGCCCCTCCACTGGGAATCTCCTGGTCTGTGAGCAAAAAAAAATTTGTCTGAAAGTGTGGTGTCCTCTCGTTCTCTGCGCTTTCACTAGGAGCTACAATCCCGAGCTGCTAGTAATTGGCCATCTTGGATCTCTCTCCAAATTTGGTGTTTTTAGTAGAGACTGGGTTTTGCCCTGTTGGCCAGGCTGGTCTCAAACTTCTGACCTCAAGCAGTCTGCCCACCTGGGCCCCCCAAAGGGCTAGAATTACAGTAATTGTCCTCATGAAATGTACTTCTCTTGTCAAAGTAATCTTAGATACTGAATTATATCCTAAGGTTATTTGGAACTAGCTTTCTGAATTTTACATAGTTGACATACTTTCAGTAGAACAATCATAAAACAAAGGATTATTAAAATATTAAGGAAACAAAGGTTAAAGAGGGAAATGCTGGTTTCTTTACAGTAAACAGATCTGAATTTGCATCTTTTAAATCTTTTGGGATTTCCCCATCAGGTCCCCTCCCTGTTATAGGCACTAAGTAAATATTAGAAAACACAGTCCCTTCAAAATGTGTAGTCTTTGGTTTCCTTATTTGCCCTGACTCTCTTCTAAAAAAAAAAAAAAAGAAAGAAAGAAAAGAAAAAGCAGAACTAACTAGAGATTATTGGCTACAAAAACCCATCAGCACCTGCCAGTTTTTAAATTTCATTCGGAAAATCAGCCATCACTTAAGGGACTTGTCCATAATAGCATCATTAAAGCTTTGATTTTTAGCAAAAGGGGCCACATACTTTCACAAACATGTGAAAGTAGTATGTTTACCCCCTCTACTCTTGTCTTCTTATTTGATTGCAAAAGTTAATGTTATTAAAGTTGCTATGGAAGCATTAACGTTCAGCCTGAACAAGTGCTTGACGAACTTCTTTGTACAAGCAGTAACTCTCTGCAACTTCATTTTATATGATCTTTTACTTGATGTAGACATTTACTTTCTTTGCACATGTGATCTCTTAAGATTCATTTCTATTCCTTTTTCCTTCAGTTTTAAATGATGTGTTATAGTCATCTTTATAACATGATCAGCCAACTATAATTTGAGAAGTCAATTCAGTTGGCAAATATCCGAAGGACCAAACCAAAGCCACCCCCAGCTGGGTTTTTTTGTCCCTTCTTTCTTTCATTTGCCGAAAACCTTCATTAGGTTCACAGTAGGAGAATTTTCAAAATCATGTTTTCCTGGTTACCTGTGAAACCAAAGCAAGATAGATGAAGGCAAGGGAAAAAATGAACTTACCAAGAGTGTTCTTTTTCACCTCCAAGTAAAAACCACAAATGTCTAGTTTTTAAAAGTTTAGACTTTCTCAATCCTTTTGTTTCACATTTGATTATTCTCATAATTATACATAGAAGAATGTTTTTTAAAAGTCCTTGTCATGTCTATGAATCTGTTCCTCTTTGCTATACTACATAAATCATATTTTCTTCTTACAGGATCGTTTAGGAAGAGGCAACAAGAAAAGACTCTGAACTTTATGAAAGATGTTTGTGATATACCATGTCAAAATGATAAATTTCTTATGTTAGCCTCTAGAAAGTTTAAAATTAAGTTCAGAAAAATGCACTAAGACCTATCAGTAATTTTTTTCATGCCACACATAGGTTGTATTGTAAAGGCATTATCAAAATATTTGATGATGTTTCAGATGTATTGTAAAATCTGTATTCCACCTCTTAAGAAATATATAAGCATGTTAAATACCATATTTACATACTGATAATGACACTGGTATATGGTGGCTGTTACCAATAAAAGGAGAAAATTCTTTAGCTGGTTACTTTCAAAATTAGAAGTTTTAAGTTGCATGAAACCATTAATAGCCTTGAAAGCTTTGATGAGTTTTCAGTAATAATAATCTATGTAATCCAATGACAATGTGTTTGAAAATAGTGTTCAGTATCAGCAAATTTGTACACAGGGAATGTAAATAAGGGTAACTATCAGAGTTATCCACCGTATTTATAAGGAAGAGCTCAAAAAAACAATGACCTTAGTTTTTTTTAACCCTAATGATGCTATGGTTTACTCTAATAAGATATTGTTAATTATATTTTTGTTACTGTGCCCCTGCACATGTTGGACTGTTTTTTGTTGACATTTGTATTAATGACACGTGATTAGTAACCACTCTACTGTTTCAAGTTAATCTAGTCATAGAGTTTACATATATTTGCATAACTGCCATACCACTGCACTGAATTTATTTTACAACAATGTAGAATTCTTTAGAAGTTAACATAGCACATATCCAAAAAGCAGTATTTTCTTTCAATTGGTTGTGAGAGTACCTGATTATATAAATATTACCTCAAAATACATACACTGGTATCACACAGTTTTTCTAAGATGTTTCTATGTTCTGAAAGCTAATATTAAATACTATCTTTCCATTCAAATATTCATTTAGAATTTCCTTTAGAAGATGGCAGTGATTGTAATATTAATATGATTTAAGTTGTTCCTGTGTTTAGACATGAAATCATCTTCCTTGTCTCATAAAAACCTAAATATTAAAAAAAGAAAGAAATTACTGGAGTTTTTATTTCTCTTGTCTTTGTTTCATCCTCTGTTTATTATAATTTTAGCACCAACTTCACATCTAGCTAATTTTTTTCATCGTAAAGTGGATGAAGTGAGCAAGTACATAAAAATTTTATTTCAGATAAAAGTCAGGAGTTACTGCTGAAAAACAGACATGTAGGAGACATTCAACAGGAGTAAGAAATGGGAGTTAGACCATATGGGCTGACAACACCATAAATAACAAGAAAAGGGAGTGCTGAAATAGGAGAGAACTGAACAAATGTTAGCTCAAAGTATAGACTTAGAAATATCGAAGTAAGAGCTATCTGGGTAAATATATAGATATTGAGTGTTTGGAATCCTAGCCTACTGTGTGAAAATTAAGTCCAGTGTCAGAATAACCTACAGAAAATTAGAAAATGCACAGCTTTAAAATGGGCAGAGTAAAATCTAATCCGAACTTTACCGCTTATTTAGCTGTGCTAGCCTAGGCCTCTATTTCCTCGTCTCAAAAATGGGAATAATAAAATTTAAATCAGCATTACTATATAAACTAAGATAATACAGTGATTCTCCAAGTTGTTGAGACTATATAGTAAGGAGAAAGTCTGGTGTCCTTTGAAGAGCATGAAAATTTGAAAGATTCCCAAGAAAGCATTTTAAAGTTTACATTTAGAGGACCTCGGACCTCAACCCTCTCAAGTTTACAAGTCTGAATCTTTAGACCTCAAAAGTTAGAGCAGTTTTTCCAGGGTAACATGGTTAGTTAGTTTCAGGGCCAGGGTGTAAGTCTATAATTTAGATATCCTGGTCCCCTACATATTGTTCTTATGTTTATGCACAGACCAGGTATAATTTGCTAAAGAGAAAATATTGCAATATATTAGCCACTTGTGGCTCCAGAGTCTGTGCGCTCTACTACCATACCCAACTGTTTCACATGCTATGTTTGTTACTTCTTCCTAGTACTCTCTTTAATGATGGTGTTTAGCAAATTGTATTACAGAAGTAAATATTTATTTCATGGATTTAGTTATATTGCATATTAAATTATTTTCCTTCCCATTGTCAGTAATGACTTCTTTGTGTCTTAGACTGTATTATAAATTCAAATACAGGAATGTTATTCTTGCCTATTTCCATCAGAATTACATAAAGTTTTATCAGACTTTCCTCCTACTTGCAAATCGACTGGAGGTTCTGGTCTTTAGGAAGTAGCACTTACCAGGTTCTGGCTAAGCAATCCAGAATTTGGCATGAGTTATCCTTGTTGTTTGTCCAGCTCTATCTTGGACCTCAGTGCTGCTAGTTAGATTCATGCCTTGTTCTTAGGGCCTAAGTTCCTCTCTTGGCTACTTACTGTCGTATCCTGAGAACTGGGATTCCCTTTCCGTGACCGAGTCCTACCCTGGAATCCCAGTCAAGAGCCTAAAGTTTTACTACTTTCTGAGATACTATCCTGATGCCAGCAGCCTGCCTGGATCTCTAAATATTACCCATTTTTGGAGTTGTTAGTGATTTCTGCTTTCCTGCAGTGTCACTCCTGCTTCCTCATTGGACTGCTAGCCACAGCTACTTGGATGCACCTGAGCCTGTTGTCTTACCCTCCCTCTGTGGGTTGGTTTGGTTCTGCAGTCCCATTCCAGTGGCCACTGCCTTCTCGCTGTTCCTCCCATCTGTGTGCCTCCATCAGCTTATGCCCAGCCCTACTAACATGACAGACACATTGTGCATTTGAGTGCCCACTATACAATGTGTGAATATAACTGTGCTCTTAAGCATCGATTTTAATGTCCAGAATGATCTGTCTAGAGTCCATGGAACCCTCCTGTATTTTTTCATTTCTTTCTTAGTAATCTTGAAAATCCACTTATGAAATTCTTTTTCTTTTTTTAACATTGCTTACTGAACGGCATCTTAAAAATTACTTTCACAGTGTTTCTTTACACTTTCATCTCTACACAAACATGACTTTATTAGTTCCACCAGAGATCATTTCAAACACTATAGAAGCTGTGGTAGGCTGAATTATGACCTCCCAAAAGATAGCCTTATACCGATTCCTGGAACCCGGGAATGTTCTATAGCAAAGGATGTGATTAAAGTCTTGAGATGGAAAGATTATCCTAGGTAGTCTGGATGTGCCCTAAAAGCACCTTCATCTGTGCTTATATAGAAGCAAAGGAAGAGATTACCACACAGCAGAGGAGAAAGCAACCACAGAGGCAGAGATTAGAGTGATGGAGTCACAGCAAAGGAATGCTGACAGCCACCAGAAGCTGGAGGAGGCAAGGAACAAATTTTTCCCCAGGGCCTCTTCCAGCAGGAGCATGGCCCTGCAGACTCCCATAAAACTGATATTGGACTTCCTGGCCTCCAGAACTATGGGAATAAACTTATTGTTTCAAGCCATGAAGTTTGTGATTGTTACTGCTGCCATAGTAAACTAATACAGGAGCATTCAAGACAGCTCTGTAATGGCCTGGACTGAATTTCAAGGTGTGTGGAAAACAGTTACCCTTTAACACCACTCCATCTTCCCCATTAGCCATTTGGATAAGCCAAAGATAGCCTTAGCCATCTCCTGTCTTATTTGTCTCCTTCAATTGTATTTCTCCATTGCCATTGTTACTGCCTAACTCCAAGCCATCATCATCTCTCACATGGACTATAACAACCTCATCTCCCTGTATCTTCCCTGATGCCTGTCTCATATACATGCTCTCAGCAGCCGCCTGGCTTAAAACAAAAACAAAACAAAACAAAAAAACATAGATCATGTCATTTCCTGCTTGTCTTCCAATTCTTTCCCACTGCAGTTAAGATTAAATGAATAAGACCTCACCAGGCTCCCCTCTACTCTCCAACCTCAACTCAGTCCACCTGCCCTGCCAATCACACCTCTATTCTTTTTGTTGTTCTTTCCCTAGGATGTAGATCCTGACATACCTGCATTCTGATTCTTCTTGGAACAAGCCAAACTCTTTCCCCTCTCAGGGTATTTGCATGTGTAGTAAATGTTGCCTCCCAGGCCTATCTGCCTTCTTACCCTATTTTATTTTCATCATAGTGCTTATTACCGTCTGAAATGATCTCATTTATGGTTTGTCTCCTCAGTGATTAACACAGTTCCTGCAAAAAGTAAATCAGTGGTTCTCAACAGGAAGTGGAGAAGTCATCCTGAGGGAACATTTAGCAATACCTAGAGACATTCTGGTTGTCATAACCACGAGAATGCTCCTAGTGGATAGAAGCCAGGATACTGTTAAACTCATTCCACAATGCACAGAACAACACACAACAACACATTCTTAATGTACAGGACTGAAACAAAGAATGATCTCACCCAGAATGTCAGTGTTGCCAAGGTGGAGCATAGATGCTTGTGGCAGAGGGTACTGGTTTTCCCCCAGTATCCATTCTTTCATTCGCCTGTGATAATACGTGCTCCTGTTTTTTTTTTTATAAACAGCTGCCAAGCAGAAAAACACTTTCTATCTCCTTGTATGTAAGTGGAAATAGGTAGGATTGTCTTGTGGGGCTAGTTTCTTTCTTTTCTTCCTCTGCCCTGCCTCTTGAAACATAGGTGCTGCACTGTCTTAGGTCATGAGGTTGAGGACATGCGAAATGGAGCAACAAGAAGGAGGCTGTGTCCCTGACACCATACAGCACTACACCTGTCCTGAATTGCTGTGCATGACACCAGATAACTGCAATGCATTGTCTCAGCTCCCAAGACATGAATAAAAAACCATCAATATGGCTTAAAAGCACAAAACCTTTGTATCTTTGCCTTTTATGTTAGGATCTTAATTAAAAATTACATCCTCTACGTCTCTGCATGCTCAACTTTTTATATTTGACTTAACCATTATTAGTTAATCAGCATCATGCATTGCACCCCCACAATAGCTGTGCATTTCACATTATAAAAGTTTACAACTCTCCCTCTTTGTCTTTAGTATGGTGTACACTGCAACAAAAGCAAACACCACAAGAACATTCAGGCACGTTGCATATACAAAGATAGTACATAGAGCTTGATGTGTAAACAAGTTAGGAAAAAGTTGCCAGCTTTTCCTAGGTGATCAGCTTTTTTCCTAAATTTGAGCAAAGAATATGTTTGAAGTGTTGGCTTTGTCTGCCAAACCAGTGTCTTCCTGGTTAGCCAGGCTTCTCCGAAACTCTGTTCCTCCTTCAGAAATCGTTACTCTCCCTGAAGCACCACCCATGGTAAAGAATTTTGGTCTCTCCCAATGGCTGTCAATTTCCTGGCACACAAAAGACTCCTAGAGCACCACTTCTCAACCAAAGGCATCCTGGAATAACACTCCATAGAGGTTTACTTGCTGAAACTTTTAAGTTTGTTGATTTTTTTTTCTCTTGAAACAAAATTGATACATAGTAAATGTAGATATTAAAGAAAAAGTAGCTATCAGTTTGTCTAATTTTCTTATATATACATACACAAATATTTACAAAAATAAGATCACACTCATTTTTATGCATACTGTTTTGTGACCTGCTTTCTTTCCCCCACATCAGTTAATATTCTTCTGCAACAGAATTCTACAACCAACTTCTCATAGGTCATATACACGTCACCTGGGAGGGTCAGGGTTTCTTCAAAGCACATGGACTCATACGCCCTATTTACCACTCCCTCGAGTGAGAATTCCTGCCCCAGGCAACAAGCGTTAGTAGTGAGACTGCCATAACCATTCAGTATGTGAGAACAGAAAAGGTGGATGAGACCCATGGTCCTACGGATAACGTATTTACCTTATCCCCTGTTGGTGACATTTCATGAGAATTTTTATTGGCAGAAAATGCTCTGGAATCAATAGAACATAGTGGTTACATGGGTAGATTACCTGTATTCAAATTCCATCTGCTTTATTTATTACCCATTCTGCATCTCAGTTTCTTCATCTTTTTTTTTTTTTTTTTTTTTTTTTGAGGTGGAGACTCACTTTATCCTGAGTCTCACCCAGGCTAAAGTGTAGTGGTGCAATTTTGGCTCACTACAACTTCTGCGTTCCAGGTCCAAGCCATTCTCTTGCCTCAGCCCCCTGAGTAGCTGGGATTACAGGTACTCGCCACCACACCCAGCCTATTTTTGTATTTTTAGTAGAGATGGGGTTTCACCATGTTGATCAGGCTGGTCTCGAACTCCTGACCTCTTGATCCACCCTCCTCAGCCTCCCAAAGTGCTGAGATTATAGGCGTGAGCCACAGTTTCTTCATCTTTAAGGTGATTTAGACTCTACCTCAAATTCTTGCTGACGGGATTGAGTTAATACACGTGAAGCACTTTTAACAGTTTCTCATGATAAGCTACTCTGAACGTTATACAGAGACTGGTGCCCAGTTGTTAATTGCCCCATCTGAAAATAATAATCTGATGGAATTTTAAAATGTCTTAAAAGTAAAAAGTGTAGTGGAGATGGATGGTCGTGATGGTTACACAACAATATGAATGTAGTTAGTACCACCGAACCATACATTTAAAAGTGATTAGTATAACCTCTTTTATATTAACCGCTTGTATTAATCACTTTTTAGTGAATAGCTAAGGTGGTATTAACTACATTTATATTGTAGCATTAACCATATTAGCCATTTTAAGTGCATTTTGCCATCATTAAAAACATGGGGAAACAAAAGGTGGACCTCCTAGTTCCCCGGAATGAATGCACAGTGTTGAAACTGGTAGACATTTAAGGATGCCTAGTCTTTTTTTTTTTTTTTTTTTTTAAAAAAAAAAAAAACAGAGTTTTGCTCTTGTTGCCCAGGCTGGAGTGCAATGGTGTGATCTTGGCTCAACACAGCCTCTGCCTCCTAGGTTGAAGTGATTCTCCTTCCTCAGCCTCCATAGTAGCTGAGATTACAGGCACCCACCACCACGAGCAGCTAATTTTTGTGTTTTTAGTAGAGACAGGGCTTCACCATGTTGGCCAGGCTGGTCTCAAACTCCCGACCTCAGGTGATCCACCTGCCTCGGCCTCCCAAAGTGCTGGGATTGCAGGCATGAGCCACCGCGTCCGGCCTGAGGATGCCTATTCTTAACAACTGTGGTCAGCCATTCCCCTGGCACCTGTCTTGTCCCACCTCAGACAAAGCACAGAGCCTCATTTGCTCAGGTATGCAACTAATGTTTGCTTATCTGGATTGAATTCAGTTCAATTCTAGTGTGTCAGATTCTTCTCAGATGACTCTTCCCATTCCCTGTCTTTAGAGTGTGTCCTGTTGTCTTAAGATTAGGATAGGATCAGAAACAGTTTTGACCAAGCTTCTTAAAATAGGAATTAGTCCCTATGCCAGACATTTCAGATTATTTCACTTCAAATTCCACTGGCAGATTTGATATTATAAAAGGGCCTGGGTCTGGGGTGTTTGTTAGTAACTTGAATCTTAACTGCACCTTTTTTTTCCTTTCTCATGATCAAAATAATTACATATATATGTATATATGCATATAAATTACGGTATTTTTACTTCTTTTTTTTTTCTTTTTTTTTTTGGAAATGAGGTTTTGTTCTGTTGCCCAAAATGGAGTGCAGTAGCACGATGACGGCTTACTGCAGCCTCAGCTTCCCAGACTCAAGCAATCCTCCTGCATCAGCCTCCTGAGTAGCTGAGACTACAGGCATGTGCCACCAAGCCTCTAATTTTTCTCATTTTTTGTAGAGATGGGGTGGTGGTCTCACTTTGTTGCCCAGGCTGGCCTCAAACTCCTGGGCTCAAGTGATCCTCCCGCCTCAGCCTCACAAAGTGCTGGAATTACAAATGTGAGCCACCAGGTCTGGCCTACATCTATTTTAAAAAGAAAAATGCAGCTGGGAGTGATGGCTCATGCCTGTAATCCCAGCACTGTGGGAGACAAGGCAAGTGGATCACTTGAACTCAGGAGTTCAAAACCAGCCTGGGCAACATGGTGAAACCCCATCTCCACCAAAAATACAAAAGACTAGCCAAACATGGTGGTGCATACCTGTAGTCCCAGCCACTCGGGAGGCTGAGGTGGGAGGATCACTTGAGCCTGGGAGGAGGAGGCTGCAGTGAGCCATGACTGCACCACTGCACTCTATCCTGGGTAAAGGGTGAGACCCCATTTCAATAAAAAAATTAAATAATAAAAAAGAAAAAGGCAAGAGCAGAGTGGATCTCAGTATTTGGGGCCTAGAGCAGATACAACTTGGGGAGTTCTCTTTAAGAAAAACAATACAAAATTACCAAAACAAAATTAGGTAGGAATTTATTCAGAACAGGAACAAAAATCACAACAAATAACTAGAGCTTTGGACATTCAGATACCTTTCTTCTAAGATATCTTGGGACAATTCACCAGGAATGCTTCTCAGCTGCAACCTCGATTCTCCTTTCTCCCTAAGACATGCTATAACTCCAGTATTCTTGATACCTGTGTACAAAACACCCTGAAGCTTCATTATCATTACTTCCATATAAATCTTCCTCTAGATAAGGAATGGGAGGGCAAAGTTAATGTAATCAACCTGTTGAAAACCTCAAAAATTTTTGTGGAGTTCCTTTTTTCTTCTTTTCTTTTTTTTAGTTTTTAATTTTTTGTGGGTACATAGTAGGTGTAGATACTTACGGGGATACATGTAATGTTTTGAAACAGGCATGCAATGTGTAATAATCATACCATGTAAAATGGGATTTCCATTCCCTCAAGCATCTATCCTTTGTGTTACAAACAATCAATTATATTCTTTTATTTTTAAATGTATAATTAAATTATTTTTATTATAGTCACCTTGTTGTGCTATCAAATACTAGGTTCCATTCATTATTTCTTTTTTTTTTTTTTTTTTTGTACTCATTAACCATCTCCACCTCCCTCTACCTTCCCAGCCTCTAGTAACCATTCTTCTACTCTCTATCCCTATGTGCCTGTTTTGGTTTTCACATCTCACAAGTAATTGAGAACATGTAACGTTTGTCTTTCTGTGCCTGGCTTATTTTCACTTAACATAATGACCTCCAGTTTCATCTACGTTGTTGCAAATGACAGGATCTCATTCTTTTTTATGATTGAATAGTATTCCATTGAGTATATGTACCCCATTTTCTTTATCCATTCATCTGTCAATGAACACTTAAGTTGCTTCCAAATCTTGGCTATTATGAATGGTGCTGCAACAAACATGGGAGTGTCGATATCTCTTTGATATACTGATTTCCCTTTTGGGAGGGTACATACCCAGCAGTATGATTGCTGCATCATATGGTAGCTCTATTTTTTGTTTTTTGAGGAACCTCTAAAATGTTCTTCATAGTGGTTGTACTAATTTGCATTTCCACCAACAGTGTACAGGGTTTGCTTTCTCTACATCCTCTTCAGCATTTGTCACTGCATGTCTTTTGGATATAAGTCATTTAAACTGCAGCGAGATGATATCTCATGGTAGCTTTGATTTGCAATTCTCTGATGATCAATGATGTTGAGCACGTTTTCATATGCCTGTTTCCCATTTGAATGCCTTCTTTTGAGAAATGTCAATTCAAGTCTTTTTCCCATTTTATAATTGGATTATTAGATGTTTTTTCTATAGAGTTGTTTGAGCTCCTTATATACTCTAGCTATTAATCATTTGTCAGATGGATAGTTTGCCAATATTTTCTCCCATTCTGTGGGGTTGTCTCTTCTTTTGCTGATTGTTTCTTTTGCTGCGCAGAAGCTTTTTAACTTGGTGTAATCTCATTTGTCCATTTTTGCTTTGGTAGCCTATGCTTGTGGAGAGCTTCTCCATTTTTTTTTTTTTTTTTTTGAAACAGAGTCTTGCTCTGTTGCCAGGTGCCAGGCTG